TAAGAGGGGCTGCAAGCCATACATTTTTTAAAACACTTGTGTAATCTGTGCAGGTCATGTTATTTGTGCAATTCAGAAGCTGAAAACTGTGTGGTTCTGGAGTGGTTTGTGCAAATTGTACTAGAATGGTGTAGATTTTCACTTTCAATGAAATTTGGATTCTGATTTGTGCAATTCATACAGTATGCACACATTTCCTTAGTGGTATTATATATTATGCAAATCATAGCTCTTATTAGAAATAGAAGTTCACCAAAAATATAGTCAATGGACCTATAGTATCCTCCCCAAGCACACATGAAGCTGAACGTAAGTTTCTTGACTACAAATTATTAAAGCCATTATTATTACTGCTACTACTACAGTAAAGTGTTATGTTTTGAATTTTAATTTTGGAGCAGAACCTTAGAGAATTAGTCATTTAAAAAATGAAAAAGATCTGGTCTTGCTTTGCATTTAGATTTCTTCCTCACATGTGCTGATCACAGCCACTCTTTGCAAGTATACATGTTCAGCATACATGTTCAGCATTTAAAATCCTTTTTGGCTGGGTATTCTCTGACAATCATCTACTTACACACGTGAACCTTAAGTCTGATTTCATACTAATGGAAACTGTACCTTGTTTTCTACTGGAAAATGTAAGGTAAACAGAAAAGGTTAAAAATGAAATACAACACTGGAAACTGGCTCAGTGTTCAGGTGTGAACTTGACTAAAATATTAAAATAATTCACTGGGTGATTCATCTGATCAAGCAACAAAAGAATGACAAAACTCCTGGCCCGGATGGACTACCAGCCGAGTTTTACAAATCTTTCCAAGCAATTTTTGCTACATTCTTAAAAGACATATGTAATGAAGCATTGTTAAATGCTAAGATACTGACTACTTGGACCAAGGCAAATATCACATTAATACCAAAAGAAGATATGGATGTAGCACGGATTCAAAATTACCGACCTATATCACTATTAAATGTGGATTACAAAATTTTTGCTTCTATACTCGCAGAAAGATTAAAGAAGTTATTAGTTAGACTTTATCCACCCAGACCAGAATGGCTTTTTGCCAAAAAGACAAATGAAGAATAACCTGAGAACTATCTTGGATATTTCAGAATATTATGAGATACATACCGAAAAACCAATGGCCTTATTGTTTTTAGACGCCCAAAAAGCCTTTGATAATGTTAATTGGCAGTTTATGAAACAACAGATGATTCAAATGGAGTTTGGTGAAAGATTTATGAAAGCGATATCAAGTATTTATCAAAAGCAATTGGCCAGGATCTTAATTAATGGAGAACTTTCAAACCCTATAGAGATTCAAAAGGGCACAAGACAAGGATGTCCTCTGTCACCCCTCTTGTTCATTATGACTTTAGAGGTACTGAATAGATGTGTTAGGGATGACGAGGACATCAAAGGAACAAGAATTAGGGATGAAAGTTATAAATTGCAAGCATTTGTGGATGATCTGGTTTTTATAATGGAGGAACCTTTTTCAACAATGCCCAAACTTCTACAATGGATTGAAAAATATGGTGAAGTTATGGGAATGAAAATAAATAGAGAAAAAATGAAATTGTTAGTTAAAAACCTTATGCGAGAACAAAAAGAAAAACTCCAGGAACAAGTAGACTTGCAGATGGTTAAAAAGGTTAAATACTTGGGAATCTATCTTACAGCTAAATGTACTACCTTGAAAGAAGACAATTAGATAAATTATTGAAGGATATTAAAGGCTTTTTGGAAAAGTGGGCCAATTTACAATTATCTTTGATGGGAAGAATAGCTCTTGTCAAAATGAATATGTTACCTAAACTTTTGTTTTTGTTTCAAATGATTCCCATAAAAATTGATAAAAAATTCTTTGATGACTTAAACCTTCATATCTCGAGGTTTATCTGGAGAAAAAAAAAACCCAAAAACCAAGGATTAAATTAAAAATGCTTCAGGAAGCTAAAAAGAATGGAGGTTTTGGTCTTCCTGATTGGATGTTGTATTACCAAGTGTCTGTTTTAACTTGGCTAAAAGAATGGGTAACATTATGAAATAAGAGAATTTTGTATCTTGAAGGTCATGACTTGCAGATGGGATGGCATGCTTATATGTGGTATGAAAAAGCTAAGTCACATGGGTCCTTCCTGAGTCATTTTATTAGAAGATCTTTAATGTCAGTGTGGGAAAAACTAAAGCTAAAACTGTATAATAAGTTACCAAGATGGCTTTCACCTATGGAAACTTTTGTATATCCAAATGTATTGAACTTTGAAAATATCATAAGATATGGTGATATCCTGGATAAGGATGGTGGCCTGAAACTGGAGCAAGAAATACAAGAACAGGGACTTAATATTTCCTGGTGGTATAAGGTGCAGGTGCAATCAAGATATGCTAAGGATTGTAAAACATGGGGGTTCTATAGAGACCTAACAGAATTTGATCAAGTGATGCTTAAAACAGATGAGAAAATTATTAAAAGACTATATGATTTTTTACTTGACAGGAAAATGGAAGGAGAACAGGTTAAGGAAACTATGATAATGTGGGCACAAAACTTTGGATTTAATGTTGAACTAGAAAAGTTGCAAAAACTATTGGAAAGAAACATTAAAGAAACTTTAGCAACTTCATATAAAGAAAACTTATATAAAATGTATAATGTTTTATAGATGGTATTTGTCACCAAGTCAACTAGCTGTTTCCAAATATGTCAAATAGATGTTGGAAATGCAAACATAAAGTGGGTACTTTTTATCATATGTGGTGGACTTGTGACAATGCAAAAAAGTACTGGATTAAAATACATGGATGGATGGAGAAATATTACAAAAACCCTTTGCTTTTAAACCCAAAGTTTTCTTGTTAGGCATTATACCGGAAGATGTTAACAGACATCTAATTACAGCGGCGAGGATTGCATTTGCTCAATGTTGGAAAAGTGAGGAGCTACCCACCGATGGATTGATTCTAAGAAAGATCTTGGACTGTGCAAAAATGGATAGACTAACTTTAACGTTGAAGGAGAAAGAGGATACTGATTTCTATTGAACTTGGGACTCTTTTTATAATTGGCTGGAGAAACGGGACTTGGCGTAAATTTAGAGATGTTTTTCAAACTATGATAAACTAACTGGAATTTGATATTAGAATGTTAAAAAATATGTAGTAAGAGGTTGACCCAGTGAATCCAATGTTAATGTTTGTGATGTTTGATGCTTTTTTTAGTATTAGTTTAAAAATGTTAATTATATAAATAGAGAGAGAGAGAGAGAGAGAGCGAGAGAGAGAGAGAGAGAGAATAGCTTTGCCTCTGGAAAGAGAAATGTGTTGCTGTTGTTTTTGAAGTCCCATTCCTTTTCCTTCCATCAGGATCCAGGCTAGACTGTATGACTAGAAGTGGTTTGCTACTTTCCAGGCTGGTGCGGCACATCATTCTGCCCAAGGTGAAGGACAGTCCACATAAAAGAGCCAACCCTTCAAGTGATGGTAGAACCTACATCAGCACTGCTGCTTAGACAGAATCCCCCATGGCAGCTGAAGCTGGCAGGCTCATTTCAGGGGCACAGAGCTGCTCACATAGCATGGCTAGGAAACCAGGGGAAATGGCCACTGGGCCAGTCCAGAAAAGCCAGTGGTGGCGGCCACCCAACTCTGCCTAATGACTGGTCCCACCTGAGTTACACAAAACTAAAATGGAGGTAGTGAAAGAACAACATAGGAGAGACTAAAATGGCCCTAACCTGATCTCTGCCAGGAAAGGAAGTTGGATCAACATACCAAGCAGCCGTCCAATCAGTCTTCCATGGCTCGCTCCAAACCAAGTTCTACCCCAAGTGGAAAGCAGGTCTCCACAACAAAGTTCTTGCAGCACCAAGAATAATGCAGACACAAACAAGTTCTCTCTTCAGGATCTATACCCAGTTAGACCTGAGGTACTTCCGCCACTAATTCCAAGGATCAACGGGTAAGTTGAAACATTGTAAAACATGTGCATGCTCAAAGAGCTGTAGATAATATCCATCTTATTATTAGGAAAGTGAGACATGCAAAGAACCTTACCCTATCTCAGTCAGGATTTAATATACTGGATTAGTATAGGATCACTGCTTTCTTTTTATTTACATGCAAATTTCACCCTAGTGGCAGGTAAGGAGATTTTGGATAGATAGATAGATAGATAGATAGATAGATAGATAGATGGAAGTGTGTTTTGCATCTGTAATCATATGTTCTGATAAATTGGGAACGGGGTCCACAGTTCTAATGCCCCCTCCCCCGTGTTGTCACGGAGAAATCCTGCCCTTCGAAGTTCAGAAGCCTCTCTTGAAACGTACCCTGGAAAAGGTCCCGATGTTCCACATAAAAAGGTAGCAGATCTGCACTCGGAAGAAAGAGACGCTTGGTAGCGGGGTGCGGGGACGGGAAGGAAGCCCTTGCAAGCCCAGCTGAGCCGCGATCGAGCGGCGCGCTTGCCTGGCACGGCAAAGGAGGAGTTCCACACCCTGCAGGAATGTAGTGTCGGCCGGAGGCCGGCCGCGCTCGGGCTCACGTCGAAGGAACGCGGCTCGTGTTTCGGTGTCGCCTCGAGTTACACAAAACAGTGACAACACCGCTGCTGATTGGAGCGCCCCTCTGCCCCCCCCCCCCGCCCCGCCGGCTATCGGGCTTTTCCTCCCCCTCGCTAAGGGCTAGAGAAATGGAGGAACTCTCCAGGGTGCTGAATCAGTAAGCGGCGGCGGCGGCGGCAGCGGCAGGCAAGGCTTGCCTCGGCTCCGCGCAAGCCGCCCCCCGCCCCCCAAGCCAGCCGGAGTGCGTCCAACTGGGAGGCAGAGGGAGGATCGCACACCCTCTTGCTCCAAAGCGATTGGCAGTCCCGCAGTCTCACCTCGCCCGGGTTGGCGCTTTCTTTTAGCCGCCGCGCTGTATTATAGATGAGGAGGAGCTGAAAAATGCAGATTTGACATCACACACGCACACACACAGCGAAATAATTTCACGAGCTGCCAGCCCCTCGGATTTCCCTTTTCCCGAGGCAGAGAGATGCTAAAGCAGAGCTCCGGCTGATCTGCTGCCTTTGCTGCCTGCACGCTGATTTACACTCTCCACCCCCATATTATCAGTACTCTCCTTTGCTTATCTTTCTTTCTGCGATCAGCGCTACCACCATCCCCTTGCACTCCCTGTCCAAAAGAGCCATGAAGACAGATCCTGCTCCGAACTGGAAGACAGCTGCCCTCTTTCTCGTGGGGCTCCTTGGTTTTGCCTCCGCAGCCGAAAGAACCATCTACACAAATCATTTTTTGGTTGAGTTTCACAAAGGGGGAGAAGCAGAAGCCAAGCAACTTGCTGCAGAATATGGCTTTAATGGGGTCAGGAAGGTAAGGTCCTCTCTCTTTTTAAAAACAATCCGACAACCCATGCATGCTATTTGTGAACGATATTTTTGCTTTCATCTTGCGAAGTTGGACAGATCTGTGCATGCATTTTGTGGCAAAGGAGGGATTTCAGAAAAGAGTACTTTGAAACTCTAATCAGTGGATGATTGCTTCTGACTGAAATGCCTACCTGGATAATTTTTCTAGCACCGTCTTTTGGGTGAGAGTTGGATATGCATATGTACGTTTGTAGCTGCTAAAAGGAGAATGATCCAGCCAAGTCATTCCTTGAAGCGCACTCTTGTGTGATGTCCACCAAGTTGGGAAAAATTAGATGATTCTCACGGATGCTTTGTTCATTTTAGTTTCTGTGATGCAGATGGTCAAATGTGCAAGGACCTCAAAAGCAGTAGAGCCTGCCCATCGGTGCTGATGGAATCTAAAGCCACATCATTTTTTTTCTTTCTGATTGTGCTGGTACATATTAATTACCAGTATAATACAGCCATCCTAGAGTTTCATTGCTCCAGATAAAATAATCACAGCAGGGCAGGTCTTTGGGTTAGTGTCTAGACTCATTTCTCCTCCAAGTAGCCTCCCCAAGTTTGCCATGGGCATCTGGCAATGACCCTCCTTGTAGCCTTCACGATGCCTTTAGCAGATTTCTACAAACTAGAGTCACTTGCACCTGGGACTAAAAGGACAGTGTAATGCAATTCAGTGTAAATTTAACAGAAAGAATACTTAAACAGGGATCAAGCTGATAGCTAAAGCTGAATGTCCAAGAGTAGCAGGGGATGCCAAGACAAGGCAACCTGACAGATGCATATTACTAGTAGTACTTAAATGACACCAAAGAGCTTTCTCCTTTCTGAAGTTGAAACCAAACTGGCACTTTCTTCATATTAATCACGAGACACTCTCTGCCTTATTCATCTAGAGTCACTGCTAAATGCTGAATGTCTGATCTTATGAAATGTGCCTGGTGAGTACAGCTCCTGCAAAGCCCACAGAAAAATAAAGCAAAGTCCTCTCTCAGATGGACGTGCCATGAGACAGTCTCCCTGTCACTGCTTTTATTTTCATTTCTAGCAATTATGCAAGAAAGACCTGATCCAACTTCCATTTCTGACAGTGAATCAACTTCAGTGGGTATTGGCTCTAGAAAGTGTTGGCACTGAGTAGGGGAGCTTGTTACAAGAAAATCTTCCTGTGGTCCCCTAATAGGTCCATCTAACTTGACAGAGGGACTCACTGGTAGAAAAACAATGGCAAAACAAATGAGCATTCTTGCTTAAGCCTACAGCTGTCTGATAGCTTCTGTGTCACCTGCCATTGCTGTAAATAAATCCCTTTTTAAGGAGTGATGTGGTAACATAGCCAGGGCTTTTGGAGAGGGGATGGAAAAGGTGGATCTCCATAAAGCTATCCTTCTTTGCAGAAAACTCCTTGGATGTGGCTCCGCCATTTCTTTCCTGTCCCCCTCCCTATCCCAACCTGATACAGAGATATATTTCTGCAGCCTACCTGTAAGATCTTTTGCTTCACCATGTTTCAGGCACCAATTCAAGGAGAACAGTATTTATTTATTTATTTTAAATATTTATGTGCCGTTCTAATTCGCAAAAAGCCTCAGGATGGCTAGTAAGATGTCTCAAAAGAGAAGTAAGCACAAGGTCAAAGTAGTCATGTCAAGACTTTCCCTGAGCATATGCCTATACACTTATGACAAGGGTGTAAACTGCACAGAATGCCAGTCTCTTTCTATGTACCTTGCCAGAAGGCAATGGAAGTGGGAGATCATTTCCTTCTATTGTGAGTAGCCATAACTTATCTGAATATCACTTCCTCTTTGCAGAGGAAGCTGCAACCATGAGATTACTTTGTTTCTGTTAAGATTCAGGCTGCAATCTTACAGCCACTTCCTTGGAAGTAAGCCGCAGTGAACTCAATAGAACTTCATTCTGAGTAGCTATGTATAAGATAATTTCGTAAATACTTCTAGGTTTAAAAAGTCCCAATACTCGGAGACATCTAACAAATCCACATGAATGTGCAGTGTATACTATGTAAGGGCTATTATTTCTCACACTGAGTTTAGTGGCACTTATTCTCCAGTCAGTGAGCAAAGAATTGCAGAATTATATATGAGGCCCAGGAGATTAAAGGTGAAAGCTAAGAAGGTAGGCTAGCATTTCATTCCTTGTACACCCATTTTAAAGGGATGAAGACATACACCGTATGCATTATTTACAAGATGTGCCTTGGTTTTCTCGTTAGTCTGGCTCTGCATGAGATAAAATTCAGCAGGAAGCCCTTGACTTCTCCTTTTCATAAGGAGTAGCTCAGATGCTTTTGCAGAGTGGCTTGATTCACGATGAACACCCCTGCTTTCTTGCCTTTCTTGCTTTATGCAGCTGTTATGGAGAGCCGGGATTCTGCAAGGATCTCTAGCAACCAACTTTAAGAGGTCAGCTGCTAGGGGAAAAGCCCAGGCTTGTTGGTTGTCCCTCTCCTATGGCCTTGTATGGCTAACTGCCCTTGCTGCCTCAGAATTCTCAGTTGTGGGGATCATTCCAGGACAGGCAATTCTCCTGTGATCTATCAGTGTTTCCCATTGTAACCTGGATTTGTTTTAATGGAAATTAGTCCAGAATGGATATGTGAGAGATGCATCCATTAAATAAAGATAAATCAGTAATAAGTCCCCTTGGGAGAATTTTTGTCCATAGCTCAGAATATTCAACTTCAGGAAAAGTAGCTCTGGCTCACTTGTTTGCCTATGTACTGTTAAACATCTGAACCTCTCAGTAGCACTTCAGTGAGCTATAACCTCCCAAAGCTCACGCCAGAATAAATGCATTGGTCCTCAACCTGCCACAAGATTCTTTGTGATAACACTTCTGCTATAGTGCCCCAAGAAAGATATCTGTTTGAAATAGCACCCCCTTGAACATTTCCAGAGTTTGCATATTATTGGAAGCACTTCTCCTGGCACTTTCTCTGACCAGGTAATTTTGACAGAATTCTCACAAAGTTGGTTTCAGGCAAATTATCTCCCATGTGAAAATCAAGTGCCATGCCTGCAGACTTCGCTGCCTCAGAATCAGAAGGCACACAGTGGAATACTGAAGAAATTAATAGTGTGTTACCTAACTGTCTGGTTTTCAGACCAGTTCAATTCAAGGACTGAAGATGGGTCACATAAATTGTTTGTGAAAAAGATTTTAAAAATGCAAGCAACAACCTTATAATCAGGGTTGAGAGGTTTGAAGTGCAGGGGGGAACAGGCAAGCCAGGATGAAAACACTATGGGCACGATTAAGATGCATTTGTGCTTAAAGCAGATCTTCTAAAATCAGTGGGACTTCAGTTAGTTGTGACTAATTTCTCCCACTGATTTCAGTGGATCTATTCTAAGAGTGAACCAGTCTGGCTCCATCCCAACATCCAGGACTAATTATGTAATCTGAAGTATTTGTGAAATCCCAGCTGCCATGCTCCTACCTAAATGCTGTATTCCATAGCTAAGCCAACATCCCTGTCTTTTTCTAAGATGTAGGTTTCTTGTAGTACCCTGATCAATGAAGCAGCTGCTTCTGCATCTGCGTCCGTATAGCCATCTGGCACAAAAATAACCTTTCATAGGCATAAACATTATTGATGGGAAAGTATGACAGCTCAGTGGTGGAGCCCTCGCTTTGCAAACAGAAGGACTCCATTCAATTCCCAGCATCTCCAGGTAGGACTGGGAAAGAGCCATGCCTAAAACCCTGGAGAGCCGCTTCTGCCAGTCAGTGTTGACAACACTAGGCTGGGAGCACCAAGTATCTCGCTCGGTATGAGGCAGCATCCTGTGTTCCAGTGTTTGGATACGTATGAGAGATATCTCTTGTGCTACACATGACCTGATGTTATTAGAAGCAATTATTCTCCTAAGACATATTAAGAAGCACCTTTGTGGAAGGAAGGACTTGGGTAGTCATGATCATGAACTGACCTCACACAAAGGTTTGGTGCAGAACAGCAGATTCCCAGGGAAAAGGAAGTGCCAACTGCACCCCGGTCCTTTGTTTCTTAACCAACACACTCGACCTTTCATTAAGCTAATGTTGATTACAAAATGGACTTTTTCTTCTTCTGCAGCAGAGAGAAAGGTAAACAACAGGTGACCAGGAGAGCTGTACTGGGAGCAGATCTGCAAAGGGGAATGGAAAGAGAAATGCCCAGACTTTGCAAATCACAATGAATTAATCACAAAGAACAGTCCTAAAAGGAGCACAAAAAGGCCTGGCACGTCAGAACAAAGGTTCACTTATCCCCCTGCTTCACAAAGTGCCCAGCCAGAGACCCTGTGAAAGGAACACACTTTCTGGAGTGCACATGCCCAGTTTCTAGTTTCCAAACGTCTGCTACTTCTCTATGCTGGCTGATCCTACAATCTTACAAAGCAATCCTATGCACATCCACTTGCAGGCAAGGTGGTAAATCCTACTGAGTTCAATGGGTCTTACTCCCATATGAATGTACTTTTGCAGCCTTGGGCTTTACCCCACTCCCACTGCTAGCAGTGAGGCCTGTGGAAGCCATTGGGCCTCACTGCTGTGTGAGCAAGTACAGACTGCTCTGCCAGCATTAAGTGTGCCACCTTCCATGGATTTGTCCCACTTCCAACAGTGCAGCCCAGTGCATCTCTCTGCAGAAGCAATTCCTGCTATATTCAGTAGGATTTGCTCCCAGGTAAGTGTGCACTGGATTGCACCCTAAGCCAACTAAGCTAGAAGATGCTACAATTGTGATGATAATCTCTATCTTGTCTTTTCATCAGGAATGACTTTCTAGGTGGTTTATAGTAATCAGACCAAGATTACAACAAAAACTGAATTAAGCCAGCATTGTTGTTGTTGTTAGTCACGAAGTCGTGTCTGACCCATCACGACCCCATGGACAACTTTCCTCCAGGCCTTCCTGTCCTCCACCATCCCCCGGAGTCCACCTAAGCT